GGGGGGGGGGCGCACCGTGTGCACCAGCAACAGCGCCTCCTTCTCAGAGCTCACCGCTCGAAAGCAGAGGGCCCGGGCAGGGAGGTGGGGCTCTGGGCTCCAGCATGCGGGGTGAGGGGTGGCAGGGCCTTGTGGGCAGAGCTGCTGGGCACAGGGAAGCCCTCCCCTGCCCTCTGGTGTGGCTGGCCGGGGCAGGCCACTCCATGGGGCAGACAACCGTGACCCAGCTATGGGCCCTCTGTCCCTGATGCCACCCCGCTGGCAGGGGAGGGGAGGACAGAGGCCCCAGGTGGGGGTTGGGGGGGACAGCCAGCCGAGGCACGGCTTCCGTCCCTCCCTGAGGACCAGCTCAGACCATCCAAGGCACTCCAAGTCCCCCAAGACACTGCAGAGACCCCACCTGCATCCTCAAACAGTGGAGAGGAAGGGAGCCAGGAAGCCCTGCAGTGCCTGCCACGATTCCTAGGGGGCCGGCAGCTCAGGCCTGGGTCACAGCATTGGTGCAGGAGGGGCCGGGACCCTCCCCTGAGAGGCTGGGGGAAGGGCTCAGGGAACAACATGAACATGGAGTAGGAGTGGTAGTGAGCCTCCTGTCACTAGAGGTGTGCAAGAGTGGGGATGCCTCAGGAGCCTCCTGACCTGGCTTACAGTCATCCAGCCCAACCTCAAATCTGGGGTGGGGGGACCAGGACCTTGCATGCAATAAGAGAACCCTCTGGCACTTGCCGGTCCTGCTGAAGAACCTCACCCAGGAGGTCAGCTCTATGGCAGCCCACCCCCAGCCCCGCTGCTAAGGTGACACACTGCTCCTCCTGTGCCAGCCCGTGCTGCTTGGGCAACAACACCCCCTTTAAGCCTTACCACCAGCGCCGAGGAACACTGCAGGAAAAGTCACAAATGAGGAAAGCCGGGCACCGACGGGGTGGGGGCCCCGGACCAGCGATGGGCCAGCAGCTGGGGCGGCAGGGGAGCTGTGACTTGGAAGCCAGACCCAGACTGGCTGCTGAGGAGCCTGACCAGTTCCCTGGGTTCACCACCCCCGTCCCCCCACCCCCAGGAGCCAAGCCGGCAGTGGGGCTTGGAGACCCAGTTCTTAAAGCAGCAGAGCCCCAGGGTCACCTGCTCGGTGCTCCTGCAGGGACGCGGCCACGCTGCCTTGAGACCTCCCTGTTCCCAAGCTCTGGTGGGGACCGTGGAGCTGCCGTTCCCTGCAGGAGGGGACACTGCCCCGTGGCCGGGACCCACTATATGCACACGGGGCAGGCACTGGGCAAGGCTCCTGTGTCGGGGCAGGAGACCTGGGGTGCCCTTTCCCCACCAGTGCCCGGCGTGCCCTGGGAGAGCCAGTGGCCTGTCCGGGTCTGGCATCCCTGCCACGCCCCTGCCCCTGTGGGCGCGTCTGGCAGCCCCTTCCTCTCACAACCGAGGCAGGACAGTGCGGCTCAGCGATGAGGCACGTAACCCGCAGACCCGAGGCCGGACCACGGGGCTCTAGCGCTTACTACCCGCGTAACTGCCAGCGAGCGACCTTCCCTGCGGTGGCTACTTCCCTGGCTATAAAATGGGACGATAACAGATTCTCCCTTCTGGGCTGCTGGGTGGTTTCGAGAGTAAACTCCGCGCACGGGCAGGTGTGTGCGCGGGATGTCATCCAAGTTACAAAACCCCTACCAAGGCCAGAACGCTCCCACGCACGGGCGCAAAGACTGGAGCCCGCAGCGCCCTGGACCCACCCCCCACATCCCCGCGCCCTGGGGGCTGCACAGGCAAAGCCCAAGCCACCAACCGCGACACCGGACCTCCTGGCGACCCGCCCCGCCGGGAGGAGGCGGCTTCTGCAGATCCCGGTGACTGATCTGCGCCCCCTGCTCACCCAGGAGGGGATCCCAGCCCCAGCTGAGTGCAGGGACGCGGGGGTCTCCGTGAGGATGGCCTGCCTCTGCCCCGCAGACCCGGCTGTGGAGCCACGCCTGCCCCTCTGGGGCCCCAGGAGGCTGGCCGCCCTGGCCGCGTGCGTCCGAGGGGTGGGCACGCCCAGACTGCCCAGCCCCAGACCCGCCTCCCGCCCGACGCTCCTCCCGGGCCGGCCAGCGAGAGCCTCCAGGGCCGTCACCCCTCCCCACCCGCAGCCCCGGCCCCCCCACCCCCCCCGGGAGCCCAGGCACAACTCACCGTCCAGGTGGCCGACTTGGCTGTGCTCGACTGCTGGAAGGTGACCTCGAAGTGGTGGGGGCCGGGGTAGTCGGTGTTGGAGGGGATGGCCGGAGCGGGCGACATGGTGTCGAAGGTGGAGCTGGGCTGCGCGTAGGGGGAGTGGGTGGGCACGCTGGCGGCGTGCTCCGGGGTGTAGGGGCTGGCCGGGGCCGCGCGGCTGCTCATCTGGTCCATGGCGCTGCTCAGCAGACTGAACTGGGGCTAACGTGGGAAGGGGAGGGAGGGGGCACAGTCAGGCTGCAGAGTGGAAGCGCGCGGCCAGAGGTGTCCTGTTACAGGAGCCTTAAAGGGCCAGCAGCTCAGTCATCCCAAATATTTCCCCGTCACCCCCCCACCCGACAGGTCACTGCTTGTGTTGGGATAAACTGACATATTCACCTCGCCTCCCCCCTCCATTGGCTCCGGGTGCCAGGGTTTTCGGGGCTCCGCCAAGCACACCTGGAGGCAGCCGCAGGTGGGGGGGCTCCGGGCCCCCCCCGGCCCCCTCCCGGCCCAGCAGGCTCAGGGGACAGCCTCACGTCCCACCCTGTGTTACAGCCAGAAGTGGGGAGACCCCGGGCCCAGGCAGCCAGACAGTGGGAGAGACGGGCCGGGGCAGACGGTGGCCCCAGCCTGTGGGGCCCAGAGTCCCCTCCGGCTGGTCCATATCTTAACCCTGATCCTAACCCTAATCCTAACCTGGGCCCAGGGAGCCCTGCCCCTCCCCCAGGGCCACACACACACACACACACACACACACACACACACGGGAGGGACAGGGACTCTAAGCTGCACTGTGTGTGCACCCCCGGCTCACCCTGTTGGGGTCCCGGGACCCCAGTCCAGCCCAGTCCAGGACGGATCACATTCCTCCCGGAGGGCCGGCAAGGAAGCCCCCTTCCCCAGTCTGGAGGCTTCAGGCAGGAGGTGGATTGGGAGGGCAAAGAGCAGCTGATGTTGGCCAGAAGGGCTCCTAACTGCAAACACTCTGTGTGCCACGATGGCGACAAGGGTTATTTTAATCCTCTCTATGAGCCCAAGGTGCGAGCTGCTATTATCCCGTTTCACAGATGAGGACACCGAGGCACGTAGAGGAGACTGACCTGCCTGGGGTGAGGCAGTGGCCCCGAGAACGCAGGACACGGGTGGGGATGGTGTGAACTGTGGGGAGAGGGCCTGGGCCCCCCCTGGGGAGCAGAGACAGGCCAGCAGCAAGAGCAGGGTAGCCTGCCTTCACCAAATTGCAAAGCGCAGGGGCGCATCCCTCAGGGTTCCATCAGGAGGGGGTGTTCATAACCCAGAGTCCCCTCCACTCAGCGTCCTTCTGGAGGGCACACGTTCCCCATCCTCCAAGGGCCGACGGAGCACAGGGAGGTGACGTGCCCACGGCTTCGTGCCTCCTTCGTGCCCAGGATGCTCCAGCCCCCAGGGGACAGTCACCTGAGGCCTGGCTGAAGCTGCCACCGGAAGGACCCTTTGGGTGGGCCTCAGGCTTTTCTGCCGGGACCTCTCTGGGGCAGCGGGACAGGGGACCCCTGCAGGGCACCGCGGAGACTTCCTTCCCGCACAGCCTTCCCGGTTCTGTGCCCTCACCTGTCACCGGGGACGCCCCAGCACCCACCGACACAAACGGATGAGCAAACTGCAGGGTCCATACGAGGGAACGGTATGACTCGACCATCACAGAGTCCGACGCGCTACAGGGAACACTACCGGCGAGGGAACGAAGCTGCAGGCGTGAGCATGCTGTGGGGTCCCGAGGACGGCCACGTCCCGCCAGATGCGGGGCAGCGGCCGCCAGGGGCTGGGTGGGGCTGGGGCAGAGGCTAAGGGGTACCTGGTTCCCTTTGGAGGTGATTGAAAGGTTCTAAAACTCACCTTGGGGGGCACACGCAGCTGTGAATACACTCAAACACGCTAAGCCGCACACTGAAATGGGTGAACTGTGTGTCAGGTAAAGCATAACTCAATAAGGCTATTTAAGACACAGCAGCAACCGCAGGCTCCTTCCCTCCCCTGGCCCAGCCGGGTTGGGGGACGGAGAGGGGGGAGAATGAGCACCCCTGCTCCACGGGGCGCCTGCCGTGTGCCCTCACAGCCGAGGCAGCTGCTGTGGGTGTGGGTGCCCTGACTCCACACACTCGGTCACGAGAAAAACATAAGAGGAAGAATCTAGCTCGCGGTGTCGCACTCAGCACGCGCAGAAACGGGCATCGTTTCTGAGAAGGAAGATAAATTAGTAAGTGACTTCCATGGGTTACTTTTCACTGTTTCTCCACACGGTTACTGGCATCACACGTGCAGCCCGCACCCCATCCGTTCCCGGCCGTGCGGACCCGGAGGGCCCAGGCCGCCAGGGGCTCGAGGCACCCCTGCGGCTGCCATCTTCCCAGGCTCACTGCACTGCCGTCAGCACCCCTGCCCTGTCGGGGTACCGCGGGCTCTCGTTGCAGAGCGCTCCTCGAGAGGCCTGCTGGGCAAGTGAGTGAGGGAGGGAGGGACAGAGTGTGGGTACATCAGTGAAAATGAATGAATGAATGACGGAGCATGGGTGTGTGAGTGAAAATGAATGAATGAATGACAGGCGTGGGTGTGTGAGTGAGTGAATGAATGAATGAATGAATGACGGAACGTAGGTGTGCCAGGCAGCAGGATGTCTCCCCAGGGATTGAGGGCCCCCCCACTCAAGGAGGCTGAGAGCCGGGGAGGAGGGGTGTCCTGGTAGGGAAGGTGGGGTCCCAGCCTGCCCCCCCAGGCTCCGTGACCTCTCTCTTTCCCTCCAGGTGGCCCTGGGGAGCATCTGCCCTGCGGAGCCGTCCTTGAGGAGCACAGCCCAACCCCCCAACCTGGGTGCAGTCTGTGCCCCCTCCCGGCTCCATCCCCGCCGGGACGGCCCAGGCCAGCGGGGCAAAGGGCCCCCGCCCCCTGCTCCCAGAAATGAGAGGCAGCCCCACGACACAACAGCGTTGTTCAGATTTTAACTTGTCCACATTCTTTACAGATCTGAGGCGGGTGCCAGGGAATTACTCACTGAACCAAAAGAGCAAGGCTGATAGCATCTGCGCCCGGCAGCCACACGGGGCAGGGGGTGCGGGAGCCCGTGTGCGCGAAGGGAGTGCTCTGCACGCGCCGACACCACCAGCGAACACCGCCAACACCCAGCGGGCGTCCCAGACCCCTCCTCCGCCCACGGAGCCAGCCAGTGGCCCCTATGCACGCTCCGTGGCTCTGTGGCATTTTGCGGTCCCGGTGCCTGGAGGGCGCCCCTCTTCCCCAGGAGAGCGTGGGGCCAGGTCTCCCTGCTGCTGCCCCTCCCCCGGCTCCCCAGGGACACCTCCATCCCCAGGAAACGCAGAGGGCAGAGGCGTCCCGCCCATTTGCTTCGCTGCAGGGAACCCGCTGCTTAGGAAGTGGGCGGCTCTAGCTCCCTCCCTTTGCCTTCCTTCCAGGTCAGATGGGCGCGCGGCACTGCGGGGACCAGCCCCATCCCGACCTCGCTGCCCAAACTGGGCCAGCACAGCCGCATGCACAGAAGCCGGGGTGCCCTCCGTGCGGACCGGAGGCCTCTGGCAGCGGAGGCCAGACCCCTGGTGGCACGAGGAACCCCGGGAAAAACCAGGACTTTTTTGGTTTGTTTGCTTTCAAGCAGAACTCCCAAGAAAGCGGGCTGATTAGGACATGCCCAGCCCGGGGCAGCCCGCGTGTGCCTACATGTGCGTGCAGGGCTCCTGGGCCCGACCCAAGCAGGGCTGCAGGCGGGCGGGCTCCCCTCCTGGTCCCGCGGAGGATGCACCGGGGCTCCGGGAGGGGCCGGGGCCGGGAGAGCACCTCTCCCCCCAGATCCCCCGTGTGCCGCGCTGGACCCCGGCGGGAGGGCTGGGGGCTCCTCCCAGCAGGCCACACAGGCCCCCCAACACAGGCTCTGTCCATCTGCTCCACAAACATGTTTCCTGGCGCCCTCTGCTGACAGTGGGCAGGGGCAGGGAGGGGGACCTGCCCTGTGGGTGCACCAGGGTGTCCGTCCCTCCGCCTCTGCGGGGTCCAGGCTGGCCCCAGGGTCGGCACCTCTGGGGCCAGAATCCCACGGTGGCCCATTTCTGCTCACATAGGGCTCACGAGGGCACACATAGGCCTCGGGGCTGCATGCCCGTGTGTGCTCACGTGCAGGGCCCGAGACGCCGCAGGGAAGGAGCAAGGGGCTTAGACCTCGGGCCCCGCAGCCTCCAGCGGAGGGACGACGCTCCCGGTGGGAGGCCCCGCCTCGGGATGGAGGTCCTGAACTGGGTCTGTGTCTGGCCCTCTGCTGGGAAGGGAGCTCGTCTCTGGCAACGGGGAAGGGGGTCCCGCCCCAGAAGCAGTCGGGAGAGGACAGAGGGAGCCACTCTGGGGGGGGGGTCCCGGCCTCCAGCCTAGGGGCCTCCCCTCCTCGGCAGACCCTCTGGGGGCTGTCCCAGCACAGAGCAGCAGCAGGGGACAGGGAGCGGGGATGGCTGTGCTGCCCTCACACAGGGGGACCCCACTCTGGCCAGGGTCTCGGGTTTCAGCCCCACCCCCCGCCCAGGGGAAAGCAAAGAATAGGGGCTGAGTGGGGGTCCAGAGGCCCCACCTCCCCAGGCACCCCCCCCCCAGGCAGCAGAGGGTTCAGCCTGCCCCCTGGTCCGCCCACCTGCGCTCGGCCCAGCCCCCCAGCCCCTGCGCTGCCACCCAAGCCCCCAGGGCCGGGGGTCACCACAGGTGGTCCCGAGGTGCTGCCTGGGCTGGTGGCCCCAGACGCTGGGCCCTCCCGGCCATCCCACCCCCCTCCCTAACGTGCCAGGTCCAGGATTAGTGCCGCCCACAAGGACGGTGTCCCCGGGCGAGAGCAGATGCGCAGGAGGGACCACTCAGGTCCAGCAGGGCTCTGAGGTCGGCAGACCCGGGGGCGAGGCCCTGGGCCCCCCATGGGACCAGCCGGGCCTCCGCCTCCCTCGGCCTCAGCTTTCCATCTACAAGGCAGGGGTGAAGCCATCATGGGACAGCTGTCGGGATCTGGAGGGTCCAGGAAGGCTATAACGTGTGACTGCGCATGAGGAGGAACGGCCCCCGCCCAGGGGCTCCCCGGAGCCAGGGCGCCCGCCGTGCTCACACACTCCTCTCCCTCCTCCGCACAAAGGCAAGGTCTGCCGATGAGGAAGCAAGCGGGGCCAGCCCCAGACCCTCTGCACTCACTGTGAGGAGCGGGC